GCCAAACGCAACATCCTCGCACGCCCACACACACCAAACACCCTAAATGCCCAACCAGGCAACGCTCCACAACCAACCTACCGCCTGCGCACCCAATCCATCAATGCCGCCCAACAACACAGCTTGCACGTCCACGCTCTCCACCAACGCGTCTAACGCCCTCACCACCAACGCTGCCAACTGCCTTTGCCTCCAATCACACATGCCGCACATGCCGCCCAACCAGCATCTGCGCCGCCTCTAACACAGCCCTCCAGCCCCGCCTTGCTCACACACCACAACACGCTCCTCTCCAATCCACCCGCACACACCAATCCTCATCCCACCCTCCACCCGCATCACGACACACACAAACACCGCCGACATGGCTTGGCACCAGACCCACTAGCACTCCACGGATACTGCGTCGCCTCACCCCTTTATCACACACATCCAGGATTCGCCTTCACCCGCAAACCTGGGACATTTCACAATCCACCGACTCACACGAAACGCCTAACAACACTCCGGTTTTCAACGGCACACGAACACCCAAGCCAGCCAACCAATTCAGCCGCGCGTCGCAAACACCAATAAGCCAAACGCAACATCCTCGCACGCCCACAGACACAAAAAAAACCAAATCCCCAACCAGCCAATGCTCCACAACCAACCTACCGCCTGCGCACCCAGTCCATCAATGCCGCTGAACCACACAGCTTGCACGTCCACGCTCTCCACCAACGCGTCTAACGCCCTCACCACCAACGCTGCCAACTGCCTTTGCCTCCAATCACACACGCCGCACACGCCGCCCAACCAGCATCTGCGCCGCCTCTAACACAGCCCTCCAGCCCCGCCTTGCTCACACACCACAACACGCTCCTCTCCAATCCACCCGCACACACTAATCCTCAACCTACCCTCCACCCGCATCACGACACACACAAACGCCGCCGACACGCAGTCTCTTCCTCCCGACACCACCACCACCACCCAACTCATCCTCCGCATCTCCGCCGCTCCAAACACACTCGACACTCGCCGCATCCTACGCATACCGGCCACGCTCCACAATACACCCACTCACTACAAACTCCTAACAACACTGCGGTTTTCAGCGGCACACGAACACCCAAGCCAGCCAACCAATTCAGCAGCAACTCGGAAACACCAATAAGCCAAACGCAACATCCTCGCACGCCCATAGACACAAAAAAAACCAAATCCCCAACCAGCCAACGCTCCACAACCAACCGACTTCCTGCGCACCCAATCCATCCATGCCGCCCAACAACACAGCTTGCACGTCCACGCTCTCCACCAACGCGTCTAACGCCCTCACCACCAACGCTGCCAACTGCCTTTGCCTCCAATCACACACGCCGCACACACCGCCCAACCAGCATCTGCGCCGCCTCTAACACAGCCCTCCAGCCCCGCCTTGCTCACACACCACAACACGCTCCTCTCCAATCCACCCGCACACACTAATCCTCATCCCACCCTCCACCCGCATCACGACACACACAAACGCCGCCGACACGCAGTCTCTTCCTCCCGACACCACCACCACCACCCAACTCATCCTCCGCATCTCCGCCGCTCCAAACACACTCGACACTCGCCGCATCCTACGCATACCTGCCACGCTCTACAATACACCCACTTACACGAAAGTCCTAACAACACTGCGGTTTCCACCAGCACACGAACACCCAAGCCAGCCAACCAATTCAGCAGCAACTCGGAAACACCAATAAGCCAAACGCAACATCCTCGCACGCCCACAGACACCAAACACCCTACATGCCCAACCAGCCAACGCTCCACAACCAACCTACCGCCTGCGCACCCAATCCATTCATGCCGCTGAACCACACAGCCTGCACGTCCACGCTCTCCACCAACGCGTCTAACGCCCTCACCACCAACGCTGCCAACTGCCTTTGCCTCCAATCACACACGCCGCACATGCCGCCCAACCAGCATCTGCGCCGCCTCTAACACAGCCCTCCAGCCCCGCCTTGCTCACACACCACAACACGCTCCTCTCCAATCCACCCGCACACACTAATCCTCATCCCACCCTCCACCCGCATCACGACACACACAAACGCCGCCGACACGCAGTCTCTTCCTCCCGACACCACCACCACCACCCAACTCATCCTCCGCATCTCCGCCGCTCCAAACACACTCGATACTCGCCGCATCCTACGCATACCGGCCACGCTCCACAATACACCCACTCACACCAAACTCCTAACAACACCGCGCTTTTCATCGGCGCACGAACACCCAAGCCAGCCAACCAATTCAGCGGCAGCGCGGAAACACCAATAAGCCAAACGCAACATCCTCGCACCCCCATAGACACAAAAAAAACCAAATCCCCAACCAGGCAACGCTCCACAACCAACCTACCGCCTGCGCACCCAATCCATCCATGCCGCCCAACAACACAGCTTGCACGTCCACGCTCTCCACCAACGCGTCTAACGCCCTCACCACCAACGCTGCCAACTGCCTTTGCCTCCAATCACACACGCCGCACACGCCGCCCAACCAGCATCTGCGCCGCCTCTAACACAGCCCTCCAGCCCCGCCTTGCTCACACACCACAACACGCTCCTCTCCAATCCATCCGCACACACCAATCCTCATCCCACCCTCCACCCGCATCACGACACACACAAACGCCGCCGACACGCAGTCTCTTCCTCCCAACACCACCACCACCACCACCCAACTCATCCTCCGCATCTCCGCCGCTCCAAACACACTCGACACTCGCCGCATCCTACGCATACCGGCCACGCTCCACAATACACCCACTCACACCAAACTCCTAACAACACTACGGTTTCCACCAGCACACGAACACCCAAGCCAGCCAACCAATTCAGCGGCAGCGCGGAAACACCAATAAGCCAAACGCAACATCCTCGCACGCCCACAGACACCAAACACCCCAAATGCCCAACCAGCCAACGCTCCACAACCAACCTACTCCCTGCGCACCCAATCCATCCATGCCGCCCAACAACACAGCTTGCACGTCCACGCTCTCCACCGACGCGTCTAACGCCCTCACCACCAACGCTGCCAACTGCCTTTGCCTCCAATCACACACGCCGCACACGCCGCCCAACCAGCATCTGCGCCGCCTCTAACACAGCCCTCCAGCCCCGCCTTGCTCACACACCACAACACGCTCCTCTCCAATCCACCCGCACACACTAATCCTCATCCCGCCCTCCACCCGCATCACGACACACACAAACGCCGCCGACACGCAGTCTCTTCCTCCCGACACCACCACCACCACCCAACTCATCCTCCGCATCTCCGCCGCTCCAAACACACTCGACACTCGCCGCATCCTACGCATACCTGCCACGCTCCACAATACACCCACTCACACCAAACTCCTAACAACACTGCGGCTTTCAGCGGCATACGAACACCCAAGCCAGCCAACCAATTCAGCAGCAACTCGGAAACACCAATAAGCCAAACGCAACATCCTCGCACCCCCATAGACACAAACACAACCAAATCCCCAACCAGCCAACGCTACACAACCAACCTACTCCCTGCGCACCCAATCCATCCATGCCGCCCAACAACACAGCTTGCACGTCCACGCTCTCCACCAACGCGTCTAACGCCCTCACCACCAACGCTGCCAACTGCCTTTGCCTCCAATCACACATGCCGCACACGCCGCCCAACCAGCATCTGCGCCGCCTCTAACACAGCCCTCCAGCCCCGCCTTGCTCACACACCACAACACGCTCCTCTCCAATCCACCCGCATACACTAATCCTCATCCCACCCTCCACCCGCATCACGACACACACAAACGCCGCCGACACGCAGTCTCTTCCTCCCGACACCACCACCACCACCCAACTCATCCTCCGCATCTCCGCCGCTCCAAACACACTCGACACTCGCCGCATCCTACGCATACCTGCCACGCTCCACAATACACCCACTTACACGAAACTCCTAACAACACTACGGTTTCCACCAGCACACGAACACCCAAGCCAGCCAACCAATTCAGCCGCGCCTCGCAAACACCAATAAGCCAAACACAACATCCTCGCACGCCCACAGACACAAGACAAACCAAATCCCCAACCAGCCAACGCTCCACAACCAACCTACCGCCTGCGCACCCAATCCATCCATGCCGCCCAACAACACAGCTTGCACGTCCACGCTCTCCACCAACGCGTCTAACGCCCTCACCACCAACGCTGCCAACTGCTTTTGCCTGCAATCACACATGCCGCACACGCCGCCCAACCAGCATCTGCGCCGCCTCTAACACAGCCCTCCAGCCCCGCCTTGCTCACACACCACAACACGCTCCTCTCCAATCCACCCGCACACACTAATCCTGATCCCGCCCTCCACCCGCATCACGACACACACAAACGCCGCCGACACGCAGTCTCTTCCTCCCGACACCACCACCACCACCCAACTCATCCTCCGCATCTCCGCCGCTCCAAACACACTCGACACTCGCCGCATCCTACGCATACCGGCCACGCTCCACAATACACCCACTCACACCAAACTCCTAACAACACCGCGCTTTTCATCGGCGCACGACCACCCAAGCCAGCCAACCAATTCAGCGGCAGCGCGGAAACACCAATAAGCCAAACGCAACATCCTCGCACGCCCACACACACCAAACACCCTAAATGCCCAACCAGGCAACGCTCCACAACCAACCTACCGCCTGCGCACCCAATCCATCAATGCCGCCCAACAACACAGCTTGCACGTCCACGCTCTCCACCAACGCGTCTAACGCCCTCACCACCAACGCTGCCAACTGCTTTTGCCTCCAATCACACATGCCGCACACGCCGCCCAACCAGCATCTGCGCCGCCTCTAACACAGCCCTCCAGCCCCGCCTTGCTCACACACCACAACACGCTCCTCTCCAATCCACCCGCACACACCAATCCTCATCCCACCCTCCACCCGCATCACGACACACACAAACGCCGCCGACACGCAGTCTCTTCCTCCCAACACCACCACCACCACCACCCAACTCATCCGCCGCATCTCCGCCGCTCCAAACACACTCGACACTCGCCGCATCCTACGCATACCTGCCACGCTCCACAATACACCCACTTACACGAAACTCCTAACAACACTACGGTTTCCACCAGCACACGAACACCCAAGCCAGCCAACCAATTCAGCCGCGCCTCGCAAACACCAATAAGCCAAACACAACATCCTCGCACGCCCACAGACACAAGACAAACCAAATCCCCAACCAGCCAACGCTCCACAACCAACCTACCGCCTGCGCACCCAATCCATCCATGCCGCCCAACAACACAGCTTGCACGTCCACGCTCTCCACCAACGCGTCTAACGCCCTCACCACCAACGCTGCCAACTGCCTTTGCCTCCAATCACACACGCCGCACACGCCGCCCAACCAGCATCTGCGCCGCCTCCAACACAGCCCTCCAGCCCCGCCTTGCTCACACACCACAACACGCTCCTCTCCAATCCACCCGCACACACTAATCCTCATCCCACCCTCCACCCGCATCACGACACACACAAACGCCGCCGACACGCAGTCTCTTCCTCCCGACACCACCACCACCACCCAACTCATCCTCCGCATCTCCGCCGCTCCAAACACACTCGACACTCGCCGCATCCTACGCATACCGGCCACGCTCCACAATACACCCACTCACTACAAACTCCTAACAACACTGCGGTTTCCACCAGCACACGAACACCCAAGCCAGCCAACCAATTCAGCAGCAACTCGGAAACACCAATAAGCCAAACGCAACATCCTCGCACGCCCACAGACACCAAACACCCCAAATGCCCAACCAGCCAACGCTCCACAACCAACCGACTTCCTGCGCACCCAATCCATCCATGCCGCCCAACAACACAGCTTGCACGTCCACGCTCTCCACCAACGCGTCTAACGCCCTCACCACCAACGCTGCCAACTGCCTTTGCCTCCAATCACACACGCCGCACACGCCGCCCAACCAGCATCTGCGCCGCCTCTAACACAGCCCTCCAGCCCCGCCTTGCTCACACACCACAACACGCTCCTCTCCAATCCACCCGCACACACTAATCCTCATCCCGCCCTCCACCCGCATCACGACACACACAAACGCCGCCGACACGCAGTCTCTTCCTCCCGACACCACCACCACCACCCAATTCATCCTCCGCATCTCCGCCGCTCCAAACACACTCGACACTCGCCGCATCATACGCATACCGGCCACGCTCCACAATACACCCACTCACACCAAACTCCTAACAACACCGCGCTTTTCATCGGCGCACGAACACCCAAGCCAGCCAACCAATTCAGCGGCAGCGCGGAAACACCAATAAGCCAAACGCAACATCCTCGCACGCCCACACACACCAAACACCCTAAATGCCCAACCAGCCAACGCTCCACAACCAACCTACCGCCTGCGCACCCAATCCATCCATGCCGCCCAACAACACAGCTTGCACGTCCACGCTCTCCACCAACGCGTCTAACGCCCTCACCACCAACGCTGCCAACTGCCTTTGCCTCCAATCACACACGCCGCACACGCCGCCCAACCAGCATCTGCGCCGCCTCTAACACAGCCCTCCAGCCCCGCCTTGCTCACACACCACAACACGCTCCTCTCCAATCCACCCGCACACACTAATGCTCATCCCGCCCTCCACCCGCATCACGACACACACAAACGCCGCCGACACGCACTGTCTTCCTCCCGATACCACCACCACCACCCAACTCATCCTCCGCATCTGCTACTCCTCAAGCACACTTAGGTTTTCATGCTTTTGGCTTGCTGTCACGCTGGGATATCGATAGGGGTGCGTGTGAAATTCGTGGAAGCTACAGTTTAGTCCACAACACAGTTTTGTATTTGAGGCAGCCAACTCAGGCTCCCGTGAATTATCATTGCAGCGGATGCACCATTATCGCGCGTCGGCAGAAGGAAATCATCGCAAATTCCATGCGAGAGGCCTTCCCACATTAGTTTTTCTCTGGCTTATGCCGCGTTTATGGACGCTGTTATGAGGAAGTTGGCAGGAACCAAATTTGTACCAGTCGCTCACTGCATGCAGTGGTTGGTTATCACTGCTGTATCCTAATGAGTACAGCCTCCGTATAAAAAGGTCCTACAATAATTTGGCTATGGTATGAACACGTCAGGCCATGCAGTCAAGTCGCTCTCCCCTGCGATACTTGCTACTCAGAGAGTAACACTACGCGGACATGGCTTCCTATGTCGAATCATCATACCTTAGACGAAATACCTCCACGGGCGTTTCGCCATTCCGCGTATCTGCATACGCCACGTAACAAACGCACGCAAGTGATGCTCCCCACGCATGCGCCCTTCGGATTTGAGCCTGCAAAGTTATCCTTTTGCGTGTGCCAACACAGAATAAGCGCTCAAGGCGTCGTTCACTGATAAAACGCAAATTGGTTTGGCGTGTGCACTCCCTGCTGCGAAGACGCAAATTGGACCTTTGCATCACCTTGCACGTGTCTGTCCCGTAATATCATCATTTTTCAGGCGTCCATGCTCAGCCAAGCGGATCAGATCTGCAGCTTCCATACGTCATTTGGAAGGCACTGTTAAACGCTGTTTGTGTGTTTCCAACTCAACATGGTTCCCTCACTTTGCTGCGTTACACGAAACACGTGCCGTATCGCTCGCCAAACAGGGAGCCGCGGAACAAAATGTCAACAGAAACGTCTCACGTGCTCTGTCAAACTCGGCTCTAAACAGAGTTCTGCACAGCAGAGCAGCTCCTCTACTTCGAAACCCAGTTTCGCGGCAGTGCAGCTCACACTGCTTACCAAACCGCTCAGTTTTACTCTCAAGGGAGCTGCTATTCGACTCCTACCTGCCAAGTCCGCCTTTGCGCAATGTCTTCCCCCGTCGTATGGAGTGCACGCCAAACTAAAAGCCCCAACTGCTGGCAAAAGTCTCACCAAAAGCATCACACTGTTCAGCATATCAAATCTTTACAGAGCAGTGCCGACCACAAGAGCTTCGCAGGGGCAGTCAGTGGCAGTCAGTTTCACCTACTCTCATCCATCTCCACAACCATTGAGCAAATGCGCGTAGAATAAGTTCTCTTTCAAGCCACCTACGCCACGCCTGCAAAGGGACTGCGGGTAGCCAGATTTTGCACAAGTTGGGCCCATACAAGCCACACCACTGGCACCACCTGTTTCCCTTAACAAAGCTTCGCACGAACTTCTTAACTTCATGCCTTTCCAACAATTAAAGGACAAGGTGTTTCGTCACTTCACGTGGTGCCCGACGTGGTCGCATGATGTGAGCGTGATGGCGCCGTTGCCCACCACTTCAAGTGTTCTCTAAAGTCCCCTAGCTTCCCGCAGTCTACTCACGTCCGCTTACATACAAGAAGGTCCCAGTCAGAAACTCTATAGCTGACCTGTTTTCATTCCACGTGCAGTTATGCATGGTACATTATTTGTAAATGCCAAACAAACGGAATAGTGTAGCAGTGCTTCCCACCCAAGTTGGGTTCATGATCCCCACCTGTGTTCCCTAGAAGGCTAAGCGCGCGCAGGGAAATCTTGGCACACTCCGGATGCGCTATGCGCTGGGTATAGGAAATTGCCTCTTTCGTGGTGCATAAGCCCCGGATAAGCGCAGAAGGTATGCAGGCATTGGGCCTCGTGGACGAGCCAGTCTCAGGCCCTGCGTTGCTTACCTAATGCGCAACACGATTTCCGTTTGAAACTGCGGGCGGGCAAACAATGTGACGTTTATTCAATAAGCTGACAACATATTCGCCTTTGGCAGGAGAGCCAGCCTTGATCTTTCTGGTCCAACCGGAATGTGTCAAAAAAAAGCCGGCCAGCAAACTGACTCGCATGTCTCAGCATCCCGTCAATTAACTCCCAGGAGCAAGATTAGCTTCATTAACTACCTAGCTGTACTGCTTCTCTTCCCCTGAGTTGTTGTTCATTTCGTCCGCAGTAACTCTACTTGCCCGAATTCCTTTTTCATTGTGCAAGCACAGGAACAAGGCACACGGCAGTACTAAGCACAAACATTTTGCGATCGGAGTAAAACTCCAACTGTCAAGGCAACCTTCGTTAGCCAGCACTCCGCACCCAATATGCGCCCTGACAGGTCTTCAAAGCAACCGCCCCGCGACCGTGAACGTTGAGACTTCCCCTTTCCAACGGTTTCATTTCTATGCTTCCCCCCGTGGAGTCATGTACAAAAAAAAGTGCATACAGGATGTGGACAGAGTCGCGTATCTTCTGTGTCACAACAGTAGTTCCGCGTCCTTTCTCTCCCAAAGAGTCTTAACCTGCTCCTGCTCCAAACGAAGACATCGTCTTTAAATCGAGCAGCCCCGTCAGATGGCGCTCACGTAACCGCCTCGTGTGTGATAGTGGTCGGCGAGCTTTCTTCTATAAAAGCTCGCGACAGTGTTTCGAACCCTCCACGAGCTGCTCACATCCCATGGGTCACACGAGTTAGTCCTCTTCGCCTTTTTCCGGAATGTTCAATAGGCAAAGGCCTCCAAAATTTTCTTTGGCTAGTGCCAAGCAAAGACGACTGTTTGACCGGAAGGTGAGCTTTAAGCTGAAGGTGCGTTTGTTTCTGCTTGCAGGCAGCGTGCTGCTGGCTTCAATTATTTAATTCCGTGGAGGAATTCAGAAGGTGCATTCATATCAGTATGTGTTTGATTCAAAGCAGGTGTTTCACGGTATGGACTCACAATGCATTGATTTTCGACGACCAGATCTTCACCGAGGATTCTTGATTTTGATGTGAGTGTTGGGCTCCTCCCTAGCGTGCGAAAGCACACCAGCATTAGAAATGTTATGGCTAGGACAACCGCGAAATAGCAGCTTATGGAGATGGCACATCCGTTGCATTTCCAAGGCCACCCAACTCTAGATATGGTCGAGCTCGGCCTGTCCTTGATAAACTTGAGCGAGTCAAATGGGACTCGTGAGCAGGCTGAGTCTGCAATATTCAGTCTGAATATTGAGAAAGAGGGGTCTTCCTCTCCATCACCCGCCCCAGCTGCACTTAGGGTGCGCGAGCAGAGAAGGCATTCCCCAATAAGAATGCCTGCATATTTAGTTGCGCGCTTCATCCTAAGCAGTACTGCCCTTTGGAAAACTTTCTTTACGGCAGAGCCGACTGTCGGCTGCACTCTGCTGCAAACGCCTCTCCTTTGGTAGAGTGAATGCCGTCTCGGAGAAGAAAGATGCCGAAAAGTAGCAGCAAAAATGAAAAACGTACTTAGCTCAAAATGCCCCATGAAAGGATTTCTGGTTTGAGCCAGCTTCTGTTGAACGCACGGGTATCTTGCCGCCACAGTTACATCGAAACTTCCTTCAAAGAGTTTGTGTTGGGATTTCTCGAATTAGTTCCTAGGGAACACGCACTTAAAAAGCCTGCACATTCACACAGTATGAACGTCGTCTCAAAGAAATATCTTCAAGTTGTGATCTTCATCAGTCGTTTGGCGTCGTGCTTCGTTCGAGTTGCTTGTCAAATCGCTCCAAGAATGGCCATAGCGTACCAGATGCATGCACGTCGTCTCCTCCGATAGTGTTTCAAAGCAGTCATGAGGCAATCATTAGTACAAAAGCCAATTTTCAAGTCCTTTCCAAAAGTGCTGCAGTACATCTTTAAAGGGGATGTGCAAAGTTGCTACTGCGTCGAGCCCGCCGAGGCCTCTTTGCATAATCGGTCAACGTTCCTTGTCTTACCAGCAGCGCCCTGTTTTTACCACGTCAAAGTCCTCGTGTAACCTCTTTTTGCGTTTTGTTTTGCATATCAGCCCCTCAACCACCTTGATTTAGTTCCGCTGCTTGAACGCATCACTTGACACTGAGCACGCTGTAGTTAGTCACAAAGCTGCTCCTATTTTGATGACGTGATCCATAGAAAGACTCTACATGGTGAAGGCCAAAATTTGATGGAGTGAAGGGTTGGAACTCAGGAAAAGATGGAGTGACTTCCTTTGAAATTAGGAAAACCAAGATGACTGCCCCAGATGTCCGTCCGGCCAGTGCCAATAAGAGGAATAATTGATGGCCTCACCGAAGCAGCGAATCAACATGATTCTGCAGCTCAGTGGCAACCCAAAGCATCAATCAACATTGGCCTCACAGTTACCAACAGAAACCGTGAAGCTTTTCTTTAGCCGTCTTCGTGTGCTCTTTATGCTCAGCGTCGAACAG